CTGAACATATCATTAAATTATATCATTATAAACTTTAATCTGTTAAGAATAATAATTTAAATTAATCTTGACTTTACTCAATCAATTTACTCCATTCCCAACGTTCTGTTGACGATTTAAATTATATTTTACCTTACATACAACGAACTCTATATCTATGAAGACATTATGTTTGATCATATATTATATTAGTATAATACTGAAAGTAAAGAAAAATCTAATATTCAATTTATTATTGGTACGTCAAGAGTAATCCGATTAGGTAAATATATATAATAAGGTAATAAAAATAATAATTATTGATATAATATACATATTTATATATACATATACATATTATTTATTAACTAAGGCTATAAGTGGATTTACAACATAATCTTATATTATGACACATTGTTTGAAAAAACTTTTTATTTTTCTAGTTATTAACAATCGACTAGGTGACAGTGATTAATGAACTTAAAAACTCAAAAGGCTTGTGTCCTGTGATCATATTCCTTCATATATAAGTGATAATAAAATGTGTTCATTTTTCCTATTTAATAATAAAACTGGTATAGAAAAATTCAGTCAGCAGTATAAATGTTATATATTTCCTCGTTAGGCAATAGGCAACATATATTATGATTTTCATTGGACCAAAAGTGACTTAAAAAAAATATATTAACAATATTAATGAAAACCTGTACAAGCACCGCCATCTATGAGTAAAATTACTTGTTTCATTTCATTCTATTAGTCAAAAAATAGTTGCCAGTTTTTACTCTGTGTGGTCGTATGCCATGAAGGTGGACTATTTATAGATAAGTATTATATTTATTATTTATTATAATATTAAGTATTTATTGACCTATGATTGAGTGTTTTTAAACTTTCCATAAATATGGTCTATCATTGTAACTGGTAATGATCTATCAACTTGGAAATTACATAAGTAGGTACCATAATCAACTGCATAAATGCTAAATATGTAGTTGTGTTTTATATGCATCGTTTTACCTGGAGAATACAAGATTTTTCGAAAGGAAACCTCAGTAAAAATAGTGTAGAACGATTCTTATAAAATATGATAATAATATACCCACTTGGTAGCAAAGCATCATTGTGTTGCCTACTCGTGCGTTTTCAGGTGTTAATTTTTTCTTTATTGGTATTGTTTACTTAAGGCTTAAGCTATTGCAGCACTGAAGTGGATTATTATTCTATCATTTCTATCTAATAGTTTATTCTGTACATTACAGTTTATCACAATTTTGTATGATTTATTAGAATAAACAATATTGTAATATGCCAATGTTCTGTGTTTAATTTAGAAGAATTTTACATTAAGCCTACCGTTTGGGATTGACTGAAACTTGTGTAAGTTTGAAGTTAATATAAAATAGAAAGTGTTATAAAAATAATTTCTGATCTTATCGGACTTCTACTCCATATAAGAAACGATAATAAATTTATAGCAGTCTACCAGTAAATTAATATCATACATTCATATCACTAAACCAGTATCCATATAATTGTATAGGTAATAAAACTGAAATAAATTTTACCTACAAATTGACTATTGTACCTACACACATAGTAATAGTAGTTCCTATACAAATTCAAATTTCAAAGACATTATTTGTTCATGAATAATTATTTAAAAATTATAATAAATTAAGTTCCATTATATAATATTTTCGTACCTGTCTAATATATATTTGCCAAAATATATACTAATTAGACGGACTCGAGAATGCACAAATAAAGCTATTATAATGTGTGTAAATATTTCACTACTCTCTTATTAACTTAATATCCAAGATTTAACGTTGTCAAACAATATGATATTATGTAAGATATTAAATAATTTATTATGAATTTGCAATAATTATTATTTAAATACTCGTACGAAAATAGCAATGAAGAAGTTTGCATGTTATCGTTGTCACTAATCTATAAAATTCCAACATGTGTTTTAACAATTTGTCGTTAAAGAAGCGATCAGTTTTTAAGTTAGACAATTTAATGTTAAGCTACTAACGACTACCGAGTATATTATATTAGTTTATTATTCTTATGAATACGCTAATTTTGATAAAAATATTTGTACTTTATATAAATTGTATTATTATCAAATACCTACATTTTAGCTATAATTAATTATCTATTCTAACTAAGGTCTCATTAATAATAACTAAGTATAAGTTTAAGCGAAGTCTTAGAATTTTTACCATAGTTATTGTCAAATAACCCAAACAATTATAATTTACAGTTTTTACATTAAAATATTTAAATATATTGTTAATAAAAAAATTAAATAGTGAATAATCTTATTAAAATATTTTTTTTAATTTGTCGTATTATTATAAAATTAATTTATAACCTTCAGTCAACCAACATTATTATTAAGTGTAAGTTAATATCGTTTAAACATCTACAAAGTCAGAAAAATAATCCTTTAAATATTTTTTCTTTCTTAACCTTAATTCTTTATGGATTAGTACAACATCGCCATGTCACTTACACAATATTTATATACAAAATTCAAATATTTTGATGGTTATATTATATCATATTGTATAATATTTATTGAGAAATCGGTTTAACGTATATTGCGCTTTTCTTAACACTATTTTCTATAATAGTAAAATAGTAGGTATACATAATCCCATTTCATCATAATAATTTATTTGCACAACTCAAATACACAATTTATATTTTATTTCACATACGTTAGGATATTTTTCATACCTATCAATTTAATATAGTTTCTAATTTTTATAAAGATAACATATTTTATTGACCATAATCTAAATATAGTTTATTTTATTTCAAACAAAAATGTATAATCATATCAAATTTAGTTTATTTGAGTTCATAAAAGTCGGGTTTAGAATCTAATTTACAAATGTATCTGCAAGCAAACAACGTTTAAATCCGCAGTTTCCAGTCCATACTATCTTAGTTCGGGATTTTTATAAAAATTATACATTTTACTGGCGGGCTGTGGGTTGTCAACCACTGAGTCTTAGATAAAAATAATTTGTTTAAACAATTATTTCTGTTTACAACAAGGTATACGGTATGTCGGTATCGAAAAGGAAAAAATCATTTTTATTTCGTTCGTCATTTATCCATAATAATTGGAAAAATTGTGCTGGATATAATATAATTGAATCTTCTCAAACGAAATAAAAAATAATTAACTATAAGTCTACGAAGCTACACTATGTACCTGACAAATATAGAATTGTTAACGCCGGTTAATGATGATATCCAGCACTCAATGTGTCAATTCGTTACCTTTGGAACTTGTCACTATCGTTGTCACATTATTTACCGTGTCGAAAGTATTATTATTTGAATTGAAACAAAATATAACAATAAAAAAAATATGCCATACATAATAATATTATTATTATTGTTATTATTATTTATTATTATAATATGGATACGTCATAAATCATAATATAATTTGTTGCCTATTTCAGTATACAGGGTGATTATTTTTGTACAAGTCACTCATAATATCGTTTCACATTTAAATAACTTTAAAACTGTCGTAGATTAAAAACGTAAATTCTAAATACGGTTATAAAAACTGTACTAATACTGTGGTGTAAAGTGTTGTGCTAATCAATACTAACTATCGTGGGTAATGATTTAAAAATAATAAGTTTATAAAATATATTAGGTATATTAAATTTCACATATTTTGAGTAAGGTGGAGAAGGCTATTGTTGGAATTTATATGGACAAAAACCAATCTCGCCTATTAAAATTATAAAGAAAAAAACATTTGTCATTCAAATACTGATTGCTCATGCTAAAATAGTCACCCTGTATCCGATTGTATATTTGAATACGATCAATCGGAATCCTAATTATAACTGTTTGCCGTGCCGTACGGTGAATTTCACTTTCTACATGATATTATAAGACGCGGTCCGCGTTCCAAGGCGGGAATGTATAAATCTGTTTAGCCCGAATTCATCGAGCTGAGGTAATCATTGAAAGTGAATCGTCCGAAAATGCGTATATGAGTAAGTATATATTTCTCCGTCGGACCTTGTATATTTTTCTGGCCGGCAGGCACGGGAAAGCATGAAATCATTAAATTTCACGTTTTCGTGCTCAGGCGCCTTATATTGTTGGATGGCATTACTGTACAATGTACATAATACATTATGTATAATATATATGTATATATAGGTACATAATATGTATATTGCTCTGTATGCACATTGCAATGTTGCACACGCATCGGTCATCGTCAACGTCACCATTCTATGAACCGTCTGAACGCATTTCTGGACACGTTACCATTATTGGCACTCTGATTAATTAGGTTTTAAACTGAAAGTTATATAGAAAAAACATTTTAAAGAATATAATATGAATGACGGTAAGAAAAAACAGTTAAGTTAAATTTTTTTGTCCATATCCCAACAGACTATACTAAATCAATACAATAGGTTAAATATAAATATTGATAAAGTGACAATCGTAATTCTTCTTCTTTTAAAGCGTTTTAACTTGGTCGTTACAGTTCAATAGTTTGACAAAGATACGGTTTACGATGATCATCCACCCTTATCAAGAATTATAGCATTATAAAACAGCAGAATAACCGTAAAACGCTCGTGATCGTTTGGTTCGTATTCGTTTAATATATTATTAGTTTTTATAAATTTGATCTTAAATGATGTCTGATTGCTTTCATTTTAAATTGCATTAAGGAATCACACTATATTTAAATTCTCTATTTACAAAACGACGAAGATAATAATATTACGTCCTAAGATATACTATATACATAACGTATTATTATTTTGCTAACTATTTATTATCGTGTACCTATACCGCTTACGAACCACTTTTAATAGTAAACAAAACAATAAAATTGCAGTACATTAACACTATGCATTTTAATAGGTTATTCAGTTCAATATATTTAAATTTTATTGTATATTAATATCGTGAAAATAAAAACACCATAGTTATGCATGGAAATTATATTATATAATGTATATTTTATTGTACCATATGAATATTCAAACACGATATTAGCAAAGTGTTCGATCATTAACTGTATAGACAGGTAGGTAGGTACACACTACACGCGGTCACGCAAAGTAACATCATTTACAAGACGAAAACGACAAGGTCCGTTGGCTTTGAAACGAATTTGATATTCCGATTAATGGCCATGTATACGTAATAATGATACTATTCCGTCGAATAATGACGGACGAAATAACATCGTAACGGATTCGCAAGCTGGTATAATCGTGCGTAAATCGGTGTGCTCGCATTTCGTTTCGTTTATCGTGTTAAAAAAAAATATGCAGCAGTGACCACTTACTATAATATAAATGTATATTAAATTCGTAGGCACATTAATTCTACTACATTTCTCTTGGAAATCGCATTTTAATGGGTGAATATAGGAATAATACGGACATATTATTGTGTATATATATTATATTGCCGTACCTACAGTATATAGGCATCTGGTATAAAATTTAATGTATACCTATTCATTTTGTATACACACCTGTGAAAGCAACGCGAACACATTTGGGACGTTTCACGAGCGTACAATTCGGCGGCGGTCAACCAGTCGAGGGTGTTGAACGAGAAGGGGGGTGATCAGGTGGTCGAAAAAATATGCGAACGCGCTTCCGGAAGATTTGGCAATAAACCAAAATATACCTATACACCTATTATATTATTAATATTGATGACACCACGGTGTCGGCAAATGTTCCACTCTAGCATTTTCGCATCACCTTGTCGAATCGAAAGTACGTACATAATAATATAATAAATAATATTATTATAATGGTTCGCCAATAATTATTAATACGGTGGACTTCTACAACGCAATGGAATGTGTTAAATAACACCTGATGGCCTACCTACGTATATAAAACGGAATTCGAACGGAATAAAATATTATTAGATTTCCTCGAGGTATAATATAATATATTGATTTATTGTTCGCGAATACTATGGCGAATCGCACAATATATTATAGTATAATTATTACAAATCGACTCAAAAATAAATTTTTTGCATGATATATAATATAAAGATACTTATAAATAATAATTTATCGCATAGAAATAATAACAATTATAACAGTTTACGTTATTTTATCTTTGCATTTAAGTCTTTAAACAGGACTCAGATATACGTATATAATATAATATGTATATGCGTATACAGGCACGCACACGAGAATTTACTTATATGTGGGAGGGTTATTTCTGTAATTGATAATGTAATATTATGTAACACCAAGTGTTGTGTCTTATTATAATACGCGAACGAAAATAAATGCCATCAAACATTTTTTTTTTTTTTTTAATTGTCGAGGGTTAACCTTCCTGAAACCTCCTCCCACCTGCGTGCCTACGTGTCTGTCCACATATACGAGTATAACAATAATACTATTATAGCATATTAAATAGAAAAATCTTTAGGTACTAAGTTCGGTGTAAGATCGCGTTGCCAGTTGATCATCCATCACTTGCGTCCGTCAGCGGTCCGGACGACCAGCACGTCGTTGCGTTTGTTCATGTCCTTGTAAATGGGCTTGTACGGGTAGTCGTCGTCCGGGCCGTTGAGGTACGCAAAACCTGGATGGTACGTGGTCGCTTTGTACGGCTGCTGCTGCTGTGTCAATTGCTGTTGCGCGATGGCCGCGGCCAGTTCCTCGGTGGACGGTTGCTGCTGCTGCAGCTGTTGCTGCTGCTGCTGATGGTGATGGTGAAGGTTGTTGTGATGGTGGTGATGGTTGTTGTGATTGTGATGGTGCAGTGGAGGTGATTTATTTACTGCCTGCGCGTACTTGGTTGGCACCGGGGACGCAGGGGATACGTAACCGTAAGCGTGGGGTCGTTTGACGACCAGCGGATGGCCAGTGCCTGAATACGCGTGGATGGGTACCGGTGCGGGTGCGGTGGCCGTTTGTGCGTATCGCGAATCATCGGCCACGTCGTGTTGTGGATGTTGGTGGCCACCGCCGCTGCCGCCGTGTTGTTGCTGGTGGCCGGCGTGGTGTAGCTGCACGTGGCCGACGCCTCCCGCTCCACCCGCAAATGGGTTGTTGTAAAACTGGTGTTGAAGGCCAAACGGCTGCTTGACGCGGTGTTGCAGGTCGTTGTCCTTCATCAGACTGAACGGTTTTTTTACTTTGGTCGTTTTCGGCTTTTGAGAGTACGGCGAAGGCGTCAACGACGACGGTGACGCCGACGGCTGCTGCTGTTGCTGTTGCTGCTGTAGCTGCAGCTGCTGAAGTTGTTGGATCTGCAATGCTTTGGCAGCCCCTTGGTGCACTGGCCGCTGGTGTCCTGCGGCGTTCAGCGAGTCATCCACTGCCGACTGTTGCTGTTGCAAGTGCGCGTAGTGTTGTTGTTGCAATTGATGCAGATATTCCGGTTTCAGCGGTATCACGATTGCTGGCATAGTCTTGCCACCGCCGTTCTCATCCGTCTTAAAGAACACGTTGTGCACGACCGGCAACGACATCATCGCTTGCTGTACAGTACTGCTGGCCAACTGGTGGCCGTGCACAGGGGACGACGGGTCACCACCGATGGCCGCGTACATCTGGTGTGAGATCGGTATGGGCACCACGATGCTGTGGTAGTTGGGCGTCACCGACGGTTGTTCGATTTTCACGGACTTAGCGACGGCCGCAGCGGTGATCGCGGCTGCGGCGGAGTGCGGCTGCACAGAGGGTCCGACAGCCTGCACCTGCGACTGTTGCAACGGCCCACCGCCGCTATATGGGTACCTGGCCACCGGGAGACCTCCCCCGCCCGGCTGCAAGTAGTTCAACCGCTTTTCCCTGGGCGGCGGCGTCTTGTTAGCCTGCGACACGGCGTTGCTGAAGTCGAAATGATTCATTTTCGACAGCACTTGCTTGTGGTTGAAATTCTGTGGCTCGGTCTGGTGCACAGCGTCCTCCACGCTGGAAATGCTGTCCGCGTTGTATAGATCTGGATGATGATAGGCCTTAAACAATTCTGCGACAGAAATCGCATGAAATAAAAAAATCAAAATTATTCATTTTTGAAATGGTAACGAAAAAAATTCAGAACTAAATCACTTTCACCGCCAGCGGTTCGTGGCGGTCGATAATAAAATAATAATATTACACGTTAATTTATTTTCGTCGTCGTCAAGTGCGATGACGAGGTAAAAAAAGTGCCACCAAAGTGTTATTGTTTCGATTATAATAATATGCTCTATAGGCCCATCCTTAACACTTTTTCTTCTTAATTAAATGTCAAACAACGATCTGTTCGGTCGCGTGTTTAACGCGCAGTACTAATCGTTAGCTGTTCAAAATAAGTGTATGATGAGATATTATTACAATGAGATATTTATAAAAACAAAAATGTCTTCACATTTTGTAAAAAATGAATTCTATTTTGGTATAATAGATTCACCGAGATAGTGAAAAGAGTATATTTCTATTTTGGAAACAGAATATACTATTTAATTAACCTTTATATTCCTAAACATTAAATATATTGCTATAAGACAATTGATACCATTAAGTTCATTCTGTGATTTCATATAGCACTATAACAGGTACATGTTTAGTTAATAATAGTTAATATATATGGCCTTATTTCAATGCAAAAAGGTTGATATTATAGCAGCTATTTAAGTGTATTGAAGCTGAAGGTATTAAAATTTACATTTTACTAAATTTACCTTTTTAAATAGAACATTCGTTTATTTTGAAAAGAACTATAAAACTATAAAATATCACTATGGCCGGTGAAATTTATTTTTATTTTTTTAGTATTAAGAGACAACTGACACAATTTATGTTTTCAGTATAATTATAATTGTATGGTTTATTTTAGTAAAAAAACTCTAATTTTTAATTTTTTGCTAGTATAAATTAATATTCATAATACATAATATATTGATTATAGCTTGGTGTATAAAATATAAATACCTACCTATATTATTTCATCATTAACAATATAATTGCCTATAATTTGGCTAATTTATACTGGCTTTAATACCAGGTTATTAATTTTACAGACAGTACAGATAAATTACTCGTATGTCCACAATTCAACATATTATATTGCTGTGAAAAAAATTATCTTAACAGATATTTCAAAAATAAAGATCTAACTAGCTCTTATCTCATAATTTAAATAATTCCCTTAACTTATAACTTTATTGTATCCATTCATTATTTACAAGTCCAACATTAGTTTAAGTAAATTTTAATTAATTAAATAAAAATATAAGGTACATTTTTTTCGAAAACAATATCCTACATATTCTACGTGGAAGTATAAATTATATATTTTTAAAGCATTTATAAATTAATTTATAAATTATTAGATTTCTATTTTTTAAATACATTACATTGTTAATTATTGACCCTTGATAACTAGATTCATATTTTTTTAGCCAACTATCTGGTATATAAAATATATTTTCATATTAATAGTTTTTTTCAACATACCTGAGCTACCAGATAATTCTTGTGAAGAATCATGCTCTTGAACGGATGTAATGATGCCTGTGGCCATCTCCATATTGGGACTTAATTCTTGCCAACCATCCTTATTGTCACTATTGTCTCCTGTTAATTTTTTGTTCTGCGTTTTCCTTTTTTCCTGTTCACTGTCCTGTTGGTGTTTATTCTTCCGACGTGATCTAGTTGGTTTATTGTTGTCGAATGACATGTGCACTTCTTCTGACCAATCGTTGAAAACCGGTCGATCGTCGTGACCGTCGTTTTTGTTCATCTTTTTTCCATAAGTAATTGATGGCACTGCTGACTTCTCTACACTCTCATTACTCTTTATGTCAGATAACTGTGGCGATTGGTTTTCAAAAGTTTGGGGTTTAACACTATATAGTTGTTCATTCGCTCGGTGATCGGTCAATGAAAACGATGGGATACCAATATCTTTTTCTTCAGTGCTCCAAGTCTGGCTCGACGATTTTCCTCTAGCCTGTCTGGATCGCAACGACAAGCTTTGAGAGCTTCGGAGACCAGGAGTTAATGATGTATAAGCTTCACTTGACGAAGACGTGTCTTTAGAAGAATCATGGTCACCAGAAAATTCTATGCTCGAAGTCAGACTTTTAATAGTTGGAGAGTGATTATCTGTTATAGAGTAACCCGCAGTCGCCGTTATTGTACCTACTGTATCCACGGATATTCGGTCTTCGCTCAGAGTAAATTGAACTAAGCACAAAATTACCTAAAAATAGTATAATGGTAAAGGGTCAATTCGCATTTAACAAAAAGTGACAATTTATAAATTATCAATTAAAATGTATATTCCGTAAAAAAATATATTTATATCTATTCATGATACCTACCATGATATTTAAATTTGCCATGATGGTTTCCGCTGTATGATATTATTTTTGGATACCCACACAAAAAAAACACGATATCACTTGTACACATAAATTATCAAATTATAAAATGCACTGTTTCATCGTTATAAGTTTAAAATAATACTATGAAAGAAAAAAATATTTTAAATAAAAAAACGACAATTTTGCATGAGCGACTGTACTAGACTGACGAACGAAGTCGTGTCGGAAAATCTCTATTGAACGACTGAAGAATGTCTGTCCGTTTTGGTCAGCTCTATCCTATACAGTTCCGCATCAAGAAAGCGGAATAATTGCAAGGATGGTGGTGGACGGACAGAAAGTGGAAAACTCATCACAATGCAATAAAAACACACTCACATGTTCAATAAATTAAAACAAATATTAAGTAAAAGCTAATTAAATGATAAAGGAAAGTAAAACTCAAGAACCTCGAACATATATATTATATTTCTGTTGTATGTTTGTCTCCCTAATATTTCGTGTTTTTCAAACCGTCTCTAATTTACTTATAAAGTGTGCTCCCGACCACACGCGTAACATATTTTTATGAACATCAAATTAATATATTATACTCAGATGACGTGCTGATGCTTGTGACAATTATTATTATTATGTGTTGTTCCTTGTTTGACGTAATACATTGCAACATATTATAGATAACACTTGGGCATTGTGATGTGTGCATTTCATTGTTGTTTTTATTTAATTTAATTAATTTTCTTTCTTTAAGTATAGAAACAAGACATAAGTACTATTGTAAGTAATTGAAAAAATAAAATAAAATCAATAACAATGTTTTAAAATTGATCAGGGCATTTTATAAAATATATAATCTAAATATTTTTATTTTTTATTGTTATATGACATCATCAATATAATTTATACGGTTAATTATTGTTAACCATAGATATTCGCATTTATTATAACAAAATAAAATACAAAAAATAAAATTTTGGAATTTTTAAAATGAATAAAAGAAAAAACACAAAATTGTTTTTGCCGAAGGCAAACATTGTGGATGTTTAGCATGAATCTGAGTAAGTAAACAAAATATTATAGAGAACTGACATCCTCTTAAAATCATACGTATAATCTTAATTGTGTTGTATCATACTATCATGTATTTGTGGTTATTATCTAATTTTATTTTAAACTGAACTATTTTGTGTTAAATGGATTACCGACTACCATTTGGTGTGACAACGTCTACAACTTTATCTCGTGAAAGGTCTGTATAATAATGACAATGTATCCAATGAAATGTGTTATAAAAGTCAAATTGTTTAAAATAAACTAATGTAAGATTTAAAGGGCTTTACCCCAATGGGTTTGTTTGGTATAAATGTGTTTAGATACTGAGCTACCCCAAGAAAAATTTTTAAATTATACCCACGTCACGAATCGACGAATCACGTCGTCTTTTTTACAAAACGCGTTATTTCCATACTGTGTAAATTGTCTTTATTTCAAAAAGAGGTATCTATACAATGAAATAATAATATCTGAATGGTTTGTCTGTATATTTGTTTTGAAGTATTAATGTATTAAAAAACGTACCTAAATGCTAACAGTATCATATAGTAGGACAACTGTAAACCATGAACACTACAATTCTAGTTTAGTATAATAGTATTCTATTTCAGTATTGATAATGTACCTCTCTATATATTCGATACTGTATTGTGATAACAGTTAATAAAGTTAATTGAAGGAAGTGTATTAAATGAATTGGTAATTATTTACGTACTATTTGTTAGTTGTTCATGTAAAAACGTATAATTCCCAAGAAATATTTTCGGACATTTTTTTATCAACATTAAAGATATATTTAGTGAGAAACCTACTTATAACAATATTTTGCTAATATTAAACAATTTACATTTTGGAAGGAGCTCGTTTTGAATTGTCGTCTTTCGGTTACATACACTATAAGCCAAATAAATAATAATTATAAATAGCATTGGAGGAATCGATTTTAAATTGTATTGTGTATAATACTTGTATATTATAATTGTTAAATTTTAACAATGTCAATAACTGTAAATAACAATAAAACTGAATTGTTCAAAACAAAAATATTGATAAATTAAACACGAAGAATATTCCTAGCCAGTTCCAAATTGGTCACTTTATTATAATATAATATTCAGTAATTAAATTAAATTTAAAATGCCACGTAAAAAATATAGTCAATAAATTATTGTTCAAAAAAACAAACTTTTTACTACTTATTTTTACTTAAACGTTGAAAGCTTTCATTCAGCCATTAATCTAATTTAAATATGTATTATGTGACTTGAATAGTGAGTACTGATACATGGGTGGAAGTGTTCAACATTTTAGCCGGTGACCACAAATTTGGTCCGCTTAATTTGTATGCTACATCTGTGATAACATCCTTCTTTACGGAGGGCTATAAAGTATTGGAAAATCATGACAGATGATAAATGGACTATAAATGTTGACCTGGTAGATTTTTCTCTTGTAAGTTTTCTTAAATTTATAATTGTATATAATTTTCATAAATTTAAGATTTTTGAAGAGTTAAAATTTTTTACTTTGTAGATAATCATATTTCGTGATGTATACTGTAAAGTTTTAAATACATTCATCGTATTAATCTACAGTATACAACTAAAAATACAAATAATACGTCAATAAAATTTGACCTAAAATTGTGAACGAAAATAAAAACGTGCGTAACGCGTTTAATAATTTATAACTTATTAGCATCTTGATAGAAAAAAATTTAAAATTAAACGGACACAAAATCGTCATAAAAATAATAAAATAAAATATAATATAGGTAGTTTCTACTGAAATATACGAGTATACCTACTTAACTCAAGATTTTGTTAACAGACATTAATATTAATATTAATACACATGGTGAAAAAAAAGGATTTACTCGAAAATTAATAATCGTGATAAAATATTATTACTCGATAAATTTAACAATTATTAATACCATTTGCCATTACTTTCTTCGAGATATCCACTATCTTTGATTTTTGAAAATTATTTACCTCTATGAATTATGTAAAGCAACAATTTAACAAGACGAGTTGTACAATTACAGTAGTTGTAAATTGCTCATGCATGACATGGACGCATGGTAAGCCCAAATGGTTGAGGTAACACATACGTCTTTACATTTTGTACATATAATTAGGTCAATTGCCATTGCATTTTTTGTTCAGTTTTATTAATTTTAAGTATGTGCGATCTCTATAATTAGCAGAAACTTATTAAAAATGAAATTCGGAGTTTTTCATACTTAGTGTGTATTAAAATCTAAAACAAAATAATAAATATCATAATATAGGTAGTTTTATATTATTTAACTTTCGCTGGAATTTAGAAATTATTAAATTCCTATTATATTTTCATTATTTTCTATGCACTGAAGACGGAATCATTAAAATTGTCTGAGTTTACTGACGATTGTATAATATTGGAACAATTCACAAGGGAAAGTATTTTAGATTTAATATAATATGATGGTTCTAATACACATTTTTTCGTGTCTTAGTGTAACCGTCATCTATTATAAATATTTTTTTCATTTTTTTTTATTGATCATGTATTAATAATATGTTACACAATGAACTGTATAGTCCAAGAAAAATACGTAATATTTACACGTGGGTAAAAAAAATGTTTGAATCAGTAGGTCGGGCAACATTCAAATTAGACGAAACAAATGTCATGCAACGGTTCATATTAATTAATCGTTTGCATAATAATAGAGGTTGATTTCAAATATTAAAATAAACATGTTATAATAATATAAAAATTACCATTGTTAACTATTAGAATATTATGTTACTTGCTATCGATTAATCTACATATTTAAATATAAATTAAAGTAACTCTATATACAATTTGTATAAAATTCTAAATTCTGTAGAAACTGAATGGTTATAATAATAAATTGAAGTGAATTTATCATTTCAGGTATTACAGCTAAAATAGCTAGTTCAAAATAATTGAATCCTATTTTGTCGTTTAAAAATAATCTAGTCATTCTTAAATAAAAAATAAAATAATGGATGGATAAAAAAATAAATATTATTATAATCCTAATTACTACTAAATTGTAGAGATTTATAAAACACAAACAAATTTTATTATTTGAATACAAATAATGTATATTTTTAGTTAATAATAATTTGATGAATATTTTAGATGGTATAGATCCATATCCACATCAAGATCAGGTATGCATTTAAATATTAAATATAAGCACGAATATAAATTGTTTATGTATATCAGTTTATATAGTACCTATATATTATGAATTATAATGTAGTATAACTGGTAGGTACTATTAAAAATATGTCGAATAAGTTAATTCTATCGTGTAAAATATTAATAATCTATTAGTTGTATTTTGTCATATAGAAAGTTGATATATAATTCATAAAAAATTAAAAAAATCATTTATTTTGTATGAAGATCCTTTCACATGTAGGAAACTAATATTATACAAAAAAACTGTTAAATAATATAATACATCGAAAAAATATATTTTAGATTCTGAGCAGAGGGATAAATGTATTGATTTAACAATGTTGTGTTTCTTTACATTTTTTTTTTTTGTGTCTGTCATCACTTTTTGGGGCAGGAAAAATTCGCTTTGATTTTCTTCGATATCTTTTCTGGTAGGACAGTAAATCAAATCAGCACTGTGTTTTCAAAAGTGGCAATGAAAACAAACAAAAAATTAAGGGAAAACGGTAATTTTTGAAACCCGGTTTTTGACGAAATAATTTTCCGTTTTAGATGTAACTCTAAAAAAAATTACCGTAGATGCATGAAATTTTCACTGAACATTCGTTATAGCATTTTCTATTTACCACCAAATATTTAGACTCGTGATGAACTATTTATAGGGATATGCAATTTTCGATTATTATAAGTTTTTTTTTCGATTTATGTCTATGAAAAAATGAAAGCCCTGTAAAAAAACTTGATAATACAATACAAGGTTCCTCATAAGATGTTGTCAGTGGAAATTAAAAAAAAAAGTTGAGATTAAATCCAAACAATTTTTATGAGCATTTAAATTTAGAATTTCGACAGCATAAGTAAAAATCACAAACATTTGTTAATTATTTTGTGTTAGAAATTCATAAACAATTTTCTTTTCACATCTAAGATTTGAAAAATTATTACACGATTCCTTACAAAATTCATCTATCCTTATCAAATAATAAAATTCTATCGGAAAGTTAAATTAAATTTTTAAAGTGTTTAAAGTTGTAATTTTTACAACACTGGATATACACTAGATTTCCCATGTAGCGATTTTCTTATATTGTTGTAATTCAAAAACAAATTACTGTAGATACTTTAAATTTACACCATACGTTTACTTTGTCAATTCATATACTTGATACAATTTTCAAAATATTTTGACTTGTTTTGAACTGTTTATAAAAATTTTTCATTTACATAATATGTCAATATAATTTTATTGATTAGGTCAAAAAGCATGAAAATTTAAAACAAAACTATTGATATATTGTGATAACAGCAGTTGAAAAATATATGCATAATTTTTTTATAAGTATTTAAATTACAAATTTTGACAATATTTCTCAAGTTGAAATTGAAAAGTGATTTTGTAGTTAAAAATGTATGAAATGTTCAACTTGTACAGCTAAGGGTTGAAATGTAAAACAAGGTTCTACGTAAGTAGTTAATTCTGTAACCAAAAAAATTTAAAAACAAACATAAACGTAGCTTTTTTATAGTTATTTTAAGTTCATTTTTACTCAAAATCACATACAAACACAAATCATAACGATTTTAGTCATTTTTTGGTAATTCGGTTCCAAAAGAACCCAATTTTATAAAAGTATACATAATATTTTTCCAGCATCACTGATAATTTAATAATAATATTAATTCAACTTACCAGCTACTGCTGTACTAATAATAAATAATAAAAATATAAAATATCATGGACTGATATACAGTCTCCGTTTAGAATCGTTTTTCGTATACAAATATATCATTGAATTCAAATTTAATACCATCCATTATAGCAAACTTCTAGACACCTAATGTACAGCTGGCGACATCCAGTTAAGTTAGTTTTTTATTCTGGTTTAACATTTTAATAATCATTTAAATATACAATTTTATTCTTCTATTCGTTACTTTTACCTAGCTAATAAATTCTATTATAGAAAAATTATAGTTATAACAATTTAATAATGAATATAAATTAAAGTATTATATTGCAATGGAGAGTAGACTATTACGTGAAATATGAGCAAAAGTGATTTTTATATTTTGACAGTGAAATATGAATCAATAGTGACTAAAATTGTTATTATTCAGACATTTTCGTATTATATGATACACATTACAAAGAATTCTGTTTCGCCACAGATTTCATATAAATCCATATCTTCAACTGTTTAAGAACAGGATAATGTCAGATTTCAATACTATTTATATCATATTATAATATTTAGGTATTGTGAAAAGACTAATTCATTTATTTAGTGTCTCTCAATTTTAAATTACCACCCATCAATAAATGTATCTAACAATTATAAATTAATTTGTAGCTTATTTTTAAAAGCCATAAAATACAAAACAAAAGTATATACTATAAATTAATTAAAATTAAAATGGAATAATTAATATTTAAAAAGAGAGATACTGAAAGGATACAAGGCACTATTTGAGTTATCTATTGATCCACGTGTAACATAATAATGCAAAATAATTTTTTTTTATGCTATTAAGTAATCTTAGAGTAAAATTACGATTGGAAAAATTATAGAGGTTTATATTTTTGTGGGCATGAGTATAATTAATATGACTTTATTGTCTCAAAAAAACATATACCTACTATCCATTTAAATTAATATTTTTTTATTTCACTTCATAAGTTGAATGTAAAGTCAAATAATAATAAAATATAGAACTACAGATACATTTTTTTTACGAATTCCACAATCTGCTATCCCCAAATAGCGAAATGTATGTTATTTTTCGTATTAATTCGCTACTGTAATAAAAGGTAACTGAACTGTTTTATTGTAGTAATTCTAGTTTGTCTTTATTTATTTTTTATAAAGTTCATAAGATACGTGTATTACAAATATTATTATCAATGTGAACATTTATATAATGGTTTTCATTACATAATAGTATAATACTGCACAGTGCCCTGTTAAGCAAAAGTATTCTACATCTATCATATTATTATTTATAAGCATACAAGCAAATTGAAATAAACATACTGCCAAGGTTTTTAAGATTATGATAACAAACATGGTTCAATATCGAAGGTTCTATTATCAAAATATAATCTAAAAACTAACATTTTATGTTAAAGATTGTATTTAGATAAATATATATATATATTTATTACCGTCATATTAAATAAATTGTTAAATTATTCTTTCTTATATCTTCAGAAAATATATAAAATAAATTCACATACTATTTGCCATTGGCTTGTAATTATGGTTTTTACTATTATAGAGAAAAATCAGTTACTGGCGCCACTAACTGCATAATGTCATTAAAATTTAAAGGTAAGTACAATAAGTGTAATTACTTATAACTTGTAATTGTAAAATTATAAATGTTATATAGTGTTTTAGTGTCTCGTACATAATATTGTTATAAAACTATCAACCAAAAATTATTAAACGAATTAACGTATGTGAAATAATGAAATTCATAATGAATACATAATTAAGATGATATAATGCATTATTAACCCATTTACTTGGCTTTTTTGTTCTGAAGATTACAAACATTAAATTGTTTCACTTAAACAAAACCATCATATTGTATGAACTTTAAAATTTTAGGTGAATAATTGAGCAATTATAAAAAATTTATTGACAAATTGAAGTATTTCAACATTTATTTTAAAACCAAGTAAACATAAAATATTTTAATAAATATTTTTTTTTAATGGAATATTCACCCAAACACAAGATACACACCGTAAAGTGAAAACCTGCCAGCTGAAATAATACCGAAAATAAATACTTACACTATACAATAAAAATAGTAAATATACGTATACTGTAATAATAATAATAAATAATATAATATATATACTGTTGCATTATCGCGGTAATGATAATACTGAATATACTGCACTATTATGTGTAACTTCTAAGCGATGACTCGGAGATTGCTGTAATCAACTTTTCGTTGTTGTCGGGGCGTTGGTGTTGATTCAGGATTGTAGATGACCGATTCCTTCAATGGGGCTTGTGTGGTGGATATGACAACCACTGACGACGATTGGGTCGTTGCTGGCTGTTGGACGCGTGGTTGTTCGGTGACGGTGACCTGTGCGGTGGGCACGGTGTAGTACTTTTGGAATTTCGGTTGGGCGGCGGCGACGTATGAGTTATTTACTGGACCGGTGGCAGAAACGGTGGCTGGTTTTTGGATATTGTATTGATACCTGGGTGCTGGACCGCCGAATCGCTGTCTGTAGTCTTGTCGACCCTGGTCTGGAACGGCATACTGTTGTTTGTATACCTGTTGAGCTGGAGCACTGAATCGCTGTGTGTATTCATGTGGTATCAGAGCTGTTGCCACGAACTGCTGTTTAAATTCTTTTTGAGCTTGAACAAGTGCAGCAAATTGTTGTCTAGACTCCAGTTGGGCTTGTGCTAGGTCGGCGAACTGTTGTTTGTACTCTAGTTGAGCTTGAATTGGGACGGCGAACTGTTTTTTAAGTTCTTGTTGGGCCTCATTAAGAACAGCGAACTGTTGTTTGTACTCTTTTTGAGCTTGTGAAAGGGCGGAAAACTGTCGTTTATACTCTTGTTGGGCCTGTGCAAGCACGCTGAACTGATGTTTCAATTCTTGTTGAGCCTCAACTGGTACAGAGAACCGTTGTTTAAGTTCTTGTTGAGCCTGGCTAAGTGCGGCGAACTGTTGTTTATACTCAATTTGAGCCTGTTCAAGAGCAGCGAACTGTCGTCTGTACTCTTCTTGAGCTTGAGCAATGGTGTCGACATGTCTGTACTCTTGTTGAGACTGAGCAGCGTTGGCTGCAGAAATGTCTTGTTGGGTATGAGTTGGAGTGGTGAACTGTTGTTTGTAGTCTGGTTGCACTTGTGCTTGGATGGTTGGCTGAGATGGGATGACTTCCGGTAAGGTGGCTGAGTACGATTCCTTTGTGATAAATTGAGGTTCAGCTGACTGTTGAGTGGCTGCTACGTAATATTGTTGATTATCCTGGTTGGCACGGTTAGAGTTTGTAGTATCGATTGAGTACTGCACTCTAAAGTTTTCAAACGGTGTTTCGTATGATTGAGCTAAATTTTGTTGTTGTACAGCATCTTGGTAAGGCTGTGACTGTCGAGGGACTTCCAAGTTTGAAGACGATAGTTTATTAGGTTGATTTCCGATGTCCTCGAATTTAGTCTGTGACGGTTGGACAGCTGCTGGCAACCCCTGGAAGGGCCCTTCCGGTATGGTGGACGGAAAGTATTGTGACGGTAAACCAGCGCTTAGTTGTTGTTGTTGACACAAGCTCATACCGGTGACAGCGAGCACTATCAGCCCGATGGAGAACATCTGTCGGTGGAAGGGAGTATAAGTATTTTTGAACGTAAATATTTAAGTAAAAATTTATTTTTGAACACTTACCTTGTATGCCATTTTTGGTGGTTTTTATAAGTCTCCTGTGTACTGGGTATGAAGTGCGTATGCTCTGTGAAGCTCGATCGAAGACGACTGATACATTTTACGAACATCAAAAGGGTTTATATATGTTCGTACTTCACGGTAATATCATTGTGAGTCTAATCGGGGGGACCTAATCGATAATTAACAGTTTTTGTTAATGAGATACAGACAGTGTATACTGTTAATATATAGGGATACACTAATAATAAATTAATATTTTTCATTGAATTTACGGACAGTATTATTTTAATTTATATTTTTTTTGTTTTATAACCTCGTCTGCTTCGAACAGTATTAGTATCAGCTTATAAACATAAGCGAAATAATTTTAAATAATAATGATGTGATGTTTGCATTCTGTGACTTTTTTATGGGCTGTACAAAACATTTGGAAATCGAATTGTTTCTCCTAGGCGTGTTTTTAAGAATATTTAATGTTACGAAATATAGTAGAGAACAATATGGATGTATTTTATTGTTTCATATTTTAATTTATTATTTTACTACGACTATTGGTGAACATAACAGTATAAATTATTATAAATTATTAAATGAAATAACTAAAATATTGATTTTATCAAATATTTGGTTAATTTTAATATTTAATAACAAAAAAAAAATATTAGTCACTTTTGAAATAATCAACATCACACATTAAAATATTTTAAAAAAATATTTAGAGCAATAGATATGTATTCAATATAAATTCTCGAAAATACATAATTTTACTTTAAATTAGTAACTTATTATACTAATAATATTTATAATAATATTATACATAGTATATTAATGTTTTATTTTTTTAATATTTTTTATTATTTATTGGAAAAGATCCAATATAATATAATAACTGACAACAAATTATTTTATTTTATTACAAGGTTCCTTATAGGTTGTTGTTAGTGAAAATTAAAAAGAAGTTGAGAGTAAATCTAAACAACTTTTATGAGCGTTTAAATTTAAAATTTCGACAACATACGTAAAAATCACAACAATTTGCAAAATTGTTTCGAGTTAGGAATTCATAAAAATTTTTTTTTTCATACCTAAGATTTGAAAATGTATTACACGATTCCTTATAAATTTATCTACCCTTTTTATAAACGTTTAAAGTTGAAATGTTTTCAACATTAGATATTCACTAGATTTCTCATTTAGTGATTTTCTTATTTAGTTGTAATTTAAAAACGACTCGTTTTTAACTGTTAACAGACATTTTTCATAATCATTTTTTTTTCCATAAATGTCAATTAAATTTGTAAGGTCAAAAAGCATACAAATTTAATACAAGACTATTGATATATTATTACAATAGCAGTTGAAAAATATTAAAAAACACATGCTCAATTTTTTTTATAAGCATTTAAAGTTCAAATTTCTACAACATTTCTCAAATTGAAAATTGAAAAATGACTTTATAACTAAACATTTATTTAATGTTCAGCTTGTATAGCTAAGGATTGAAAATTTAAATTAAGGTTCTACGCAAGTAGTTAATTCTGTAACAAAAAAAACTAAAAACAAAAACATAAACACAGCTTTTTTTATAGTTATTTTAAGTTCATTTTTATTCAAAATTACCTATTGACACAAAGAATATCGAGTTTAGTAATTTTTTTGTAATTCGGTTACAGAACAGCCTAATTTCACATAAGTATATAATATAATATTTTTCCAGCATTAATGCTAATTTAAATCATAATTTTGAAGTGTTATGGGTTCTCTTCTTTTACGTTTTTGACTTTGCACTTTAAAGAAAACAAAAAATGATAATAGTAATAAATAACCACAATGAATTTATCATATTCAGATAATAAAATCTAAAAAAGTGATATTAATTAAATAATATGTTAAAGTTGTTTCTAACCACCCTCCTGTAGTTAGTGTTGTTCATACTATATTATCATTCTCATCACATAATTCTTTTACTTTAATCCAAAATATACAGAATGCATCATTGGAACGTAAATTGTTAAATGACAATATAACACTTTTTATCACATTTACAGATTTACCCAACGTAGCCGATTTGCTTTGAAGCTGCTGACTTAAAACATTTATGATTGATAACACTTCATAAAGTATGAATAATAATATAACAAAATCACTGCTTTGTATTGAATTTAAAAATGTAAAGAATTGTTTATTTATTTATTTTATACATAATATTAAAGTAATTATATTAATTTAATACTTGTAAGTTAAGATATGGGTTGTTAATTTTTCATGAATAAAATTTAAAATGTCTAATTATACCTCTTTGTCATATTGATCTTCAACTTCTTCTTGGATAGTAGCAACATTTGTTTATAATTATTAATAATTGCTTCACAGTTCTTATAGCGACAAATCCAACAGGTATCACAAATTCGCATTACTTGGCCTTTTTTAAGACCAAGTTGTGTTTGGATATCAAGTACAGTGTCTAGTTCAGCACTTTTAGATGGTCAAGAAAAATTGACATAAGTTGTTTCTAATATACTCTTAATACTCTTTGGCCATTCTATAAATAAAATGTTTTTCATTGACAATAGTTAATAGTTAATACCTACTCACTTTCTTTTAAAATGAATTACCTTTATTATTTTGGATACATCTAAAACAACTAAATTAAGTTGATGAGCCAGTGTGTATATAAGGTTGTTGGATATTGCTTTTGCGCTTGAGCTTGTACTCCATTTAGATGACCGGACATGATACTACCTCCATTGTAAGGTTGAAGCACTATATGAACAATTTCCATGTTTATATTTTGTTCTTCAAAGTATTGCATTATAGCTGAATAAATTTGTGTTGAATTTTGGCTACTAGAAACGTCTATAAAACCCAAAAAAACTTTCAAAAACTTTCAATCCTACAGCATATTGTGTACATAATGAGAGTAGTTCTTCTTTTTAATTCCTAAGAACATAATTAGCAATTATTAATTACATAACCCTTATTGTTTCACAACATGTTTTTACTTTAATAATATTTATTATAATATGTAGAATGCACCTTGATTAATATTGATTCATCATTCTCATATTACCTACTAAAGGCAACACCTTGTTTCCCTAAGAGCAACACTATGTGGATTAGATTTGAAATGTACAGACAATTTTTTCTAATTTTTTCTTTGTGTTGATGATAATTGAGCTACAACAGATCTTTTTGATTTACTTGAATAAAAAGATGAACATTTTGTAACATGTAATGTGGCTAAGAGTAATATTGTGTTTTTTTAATCGTTCACTCACAAAATAATTATTACAATACTTTGATAAAAATAAAATAATAATAATTGCTTGAATAATTGGTAAGCATATTTTTAAAAAGATTGAAGGCAACAACTTTAAAATCAAATTTATGTTTGTTTTTAAATAAATATTGTTTTATAATATTTATATATAATTATATATTTAAAAAAAACAGTCACTGTATCAATTCAAAGAACTGAAGAAATTTAATTTTGATTCATACATTTTCGACTAATCAATATAAAAGTTAATATATTTACTTATCATTAAAACTACCTGTAGAAGTCAAAGTTATAAAGTAACACTGTTAATGAATCATATTTAAATTTAACTATAACTTTTAATTTATTATAATCATTAATTCAAACGTTAATACCTAACACAATGATGAATTAAAGCTATAAAATATAAACATTTGCTTTTTGACACTTGTTAAATTCATTTTTGGTCCAAGTTTCTTCATTTACACCGTGTTCACCAAATATTCTACGAGGAAAGCAGAATGCAGTCTTTTTTATAACTGTACTCTAACTACTGGTATTCCTTGAAGTATATACTACTAAAAGCCTTTTTTTGCTGACCAAATTGCGTTCTGGCCTCTAGGATATATCTACTTAATATTTAATTAGTAAAAACCAAATTGTAAAAAATAAATTATGAATTAAATATTGGCAAAACGATACCTTATGTTGTCAAGGTTCCGTTCCCAAATAACCCATGTTATTAATCTCAATAAATGGAAATTTCAAAGGTGTTTACATCAGTCTATACAAATATTTTGTTATTTATGTAAATAAATTAAATAAAAACATTTAAAGATATTAAATGTTAAAACTATAAACTATTGTCACTAATGCACATTAGTACTAACGTGAATACTAAACTACACATTATTTTTGTTTCACATATATCTTCAAATTGTACTTACGACTACTACATTATTCGATGAAGAAGAGATCCTATCTGGGTCGTCCATATTTTCACCACTTCAATCAATTTCATTTTGTTTTTTTTTTGTTTTATTCAATTTATTAAATATACTAAATATATTTAAACACGTTGTATGTACAAAAAATAAATATAAATCACATTAACAGACAAACTAAGTAATGGAATCGACTATCTTCGATTATAGTAGTATAGTACTACACTGTGATTGTCTAATGTCTAGTGTCTACTACTAAGAATAAACGGATGAAATGTCAAACTAAATAGTATTAGTTTATTAATATCATTATTTATATACCAGTAGACAGTAGGTATACAAAAATAAAATCCTATTCAGTATTTCATTAATAAACAGCCAAATAGGTACTAAAAATAAACTTGAATTAAGTCAGCTGATAAGATAATATTATATTAACATGCGCTATAAATAGGAATAACATACTAACATTACAAATGCAATTACCCAATATTGTATACATTAATATAATAGCATAAGTTACGTATGATAGTGGAATTAGTGCATTAGCTTTACCAATACAAAGTGGAATAAACTCATTTTTATAAACTCAAAATTACACTTTTAACTATATTTTTAGTTCATAATAATCTAAAGGTGCTAATTAAGGACTAAGGGGTGCTAAGCACCCCCTGGCTCCTCGTATGTGTGCCAATAAATGATAAGTATGTAATAACAATATAAAATATCCTAGATTGACATGTCGTCTCCGCTCAGAATTGTTATTCGCTTTTCGTTTTTCGTATGCAATGATATTATGTCATTGAATT